AGCTAAGGATTCCCAGTGGGAGGCAAGAACAAGAAGCCCAAACTGGAGAATATGCCCTCAACAGGAGAGAGGCAAGAGGAGACAGGGACTGGGGCAGCGGTTGACACTCAGACACACATCACAGAAGGCACACCCTGCCTTCTGAAGGGTGGAGATGTAGAGGCAGAAGTAAGAGTCGAGATAAATCCCACAGGCGTGTGTGCTGGTGCTAAGGCTGAGGCTGGAGAGATGCTCCATAGTTAGGAACACTTGGATGTAGGAATGCTTCCAATATATTCTGTGAATCTAGTATCCCTTGACACTCAAGAAAAAAGATACTTAAGAAAACTATAGAACAATTCTTCTCATGAGCATAAATGTAAAAGTCAACAGCACAATGCTAGCAAGCTCAAGCTAGAGTATCTTCTCCAGAATGCAAACTTAATTTAAACTTTTGAGACAAAAATCAAGCAGTTCAGTTTTCGTGGACCCATGGAGAGGGAAACAGAACCATTTAGTCATCTTCATAGATGCAGGCACAGCACTTGACAGAACTGAGTATGTATGCATCCTAGCAGTTCTCAAGCAAAAACAAAACAAGACAAACAAATTTTAAAAGGGATCGGCCAGAACTTCGTAAAGGGCATCTATGAAAACTGTAAAGTTAACATCAGAAGAAATGTGAAAGATTAAGTGACTGTAAGAGTGAGAATAAAGCAAGGATGTCTCCTCGTACCACATCCATTCAGTAGTGAACTAGCTATAAGAGAATAAAAACAAAAGAAGGGCATTCAGCAAGTCCAAGAAGAGATCTGCCCTTTGTCCTTACCTTCTGTGGGATAATTTCTAAGATACCACATGACTGTCAGAGATGACAAGGTGTGTCTGAGACTTTGGGATATGCCAACAAGGAGACTTACTGTGAGGTTGTCTAAATCAGAAAGAACAATGGTAATTTATATGGGAGATTTGGCCATATCATATCAGTCATCTTGGAGATAGAAATCACTTGGGTGGGCAAGGCAATTAATCAATAATGTCTCTGATGAAACTTTGAACCTGAGGCATGGCAGGCGGTACACCCTGCATGTTATTACACATCAGTCCTGGGAAGTAATAGGTCATACTCTCCAGACAAGGACAAAGAGAAGCCAGTGTTTGGCATTTGTCCAGTTTCTTCCTTATGTCCTTCCTTTGATGACCTTAATCTGATTTTTCCCCTAGCCATAACCTATTGTTGTGAGCTTTGGATGGGATCTGTAAGCAACTGGTGTTAGAAAAAATGGGACTTGTTCTCTTTTGCTTCCCATTGCTGGCGACCAAAAACAACTTTGGAAAGGAAGGAGTCTATTTCAGCCTACAGTTTCAGGTACTACTCTATCACCTAGGGAAGTCAGGGCAGGAACTTGAGGAGAAACTGAAGTGGAAATAATGGAGGAACACTGTTACTGGCTAGCTCACAAGGCTCTGCTCAGCTAGATTTCTTATACAGCCCAGGCCCAGCTGTCTAGGGATGGCGCTGACATCTAGGGGGTCTAGGGAGGCTGGGCCCTCCCACATCAGTCATCAATCAGCCTCTTACAGATGTGGCCACAAGCCAATCTGATTATGGCAATTCTTCACTAGACGGTTCCTCTCCCCAGGAGACAAGGTTGTGACAAGTTGACAATAAAAAAAGAACTAAGATGCTGTTATTTTTGGGGATCCTTAACTTTGTAGTTGGCTAAATTTTCGCATATACAGTTTGGAAAGTAAAAGGAAAAACTATTTTTGTTCACAAGCAACATAAATATGCAATAAAAACTTCTAGGAAATCAACAAAATGTCACAGTAACTTACATGCTTGCCAAAAGATGAGGAACTTACTATGCCTGTTATATGGTGGAGTAAAACACCTAGGACTAGACCCTTCTATTTGAACAAATGTTTTGTTTAAAAAGTGCCACAGTGGCAAAAGGGGTGAAACGATGACCTTTTCAACAAACAGGTCAAGAAGAAATGGGATAGTCACAAGCAGAATGCACCTCGGGCCTTAATTCACACCAGCCACCAAGAAAATTGTAATCCTAAATATAAACTTAACAATGGAGAAAGGAAAAAACAAAGCTTGCTGTGACTTCAGAGAGACAACCATTACCCAGAGAGGACACAAAGCATAGAAGCTATAACAAAATCGGTTAATATGTAGATTTTCATTCTTTAAACAACATTATTAAGAAAACATAGAACCTCATACCTCACACAGAGAGAAATCATTTCAAGCCCAGATACATATTAAGTGATTTTCTACCCAGGACATGTATGGGATTTTTATAGCTCAGCAACAAGACAAACAATTCCATAGCAAATGGATGAAAGTTTGAAGTAGATACTTCATGAAAAAAGGAGAGACTAGTGACAAACAACTCTGGAAGGGACATGCAGTATAGCTAGTCATTAAGTAAATGGACTCTAAAAGCCACATTTATTATAGTAGGTGTGTGTGTGTGTGTGTGTGTGTGTGTGTGTGTGTTATATCTCACATGCTGGCAGGGATGGGAAACATGGAAGACTCTTGCATTGCTAATGGAAATGCACAAAGGGTGTGGCTCAGCCCTTCAACCCTTCTGCAAGGCAATTTTGCAAGCTCATATAAAAATGCAGTTGTAATATAACTCAGTAGCTACATTTGTGAAAAGAAAATGCTCTAACAAAGACTTGTATGTGAATACCCATAGCAGCTTTATTCTTAATTGGCACAAAATGGAGACGACCAATATGGTCACCAAATGGGGAATGAATCATTCATTGGGTGCCCAGACAAAATGGAATATTCTCACCAACAACACAAAACAGACTACTGATATATATATATATGCAAGGACATGGCTATTTCTCAAATTATGCCAATTAGAAGGCAGACTCTTCTGACTGAGTTCACTCTGTTACATTCTGGAAAAAGTAAAAGTACAGTGACAGAACACAGATCAAGGTACCAGAGTATGGGTGTGGGAGGAGGGTTGTCGAGAAAGGAGCCCAAAGGAGCCATTATTTTCCATGGTCTCACAGTATCCTACAGACAAACTGGGCTCTCCAAAGTGTGAGTTTTACAGCATGCAATTTATATCTCAAACTGACACTGGAAACTCAGTAAGCTAGGAAAAGATCTGTACAGGATGACTGACAGCTTAATATCTGCATTCGTGGTCACAAATGAATTCCTATGGGGCAACTAGTGGTTGAAAGTGCCTAATGTCCTGAGTTGGATCCCACATACTAGGAGAGAACTGACCCCCACCAATTCTAATCGGAGCTCCACAGTACCTCCTCCTGTAAGATAAATGTTTAAAAAGCTCTATGTTCCCAAGGAAAAATACCCAGTTATTTTAGTAGAAATATGTACACGAATTTCCCTTGATAGGAAGAACAAAATTGCAAAATGTAAAAAAGTAAAATGTAAAAAGTACCTCAGTTTTACTTAGGAATTAAGAAACTGGCTGGGCATTGGTGGCGCACACCTTTAATCCCAGCACTTGTGAGGCAGAGGCAGGCGGATCTCTGTGAGTTCGAGGCCAGCCTGGTCTATAGAGGGAGTTCTAGGACAGCCTCCAAAACAATACAGAGAAACCCTGTCTCAAAAAACCAACCCCCCCCAAAACCCTAGAAACTGTACGTTAGGTCTTCAGCCACTCACTACTTCTCATCTAACCTGAGAGCTAGTTGATTATACAGTACACTGGAAACTCTCATCCAGTTCTTCTGGGAATTGGATTTCGTAAAAATAACATTAATTTGGTATCAGTCACTAAAGTGAGTAGCACACTTATCTGACCTTGAAATCCCATTTTTTAAAAACATATTTCTTGTTAAAGTTCTTCCACATTGTACCAGAAGATGTACATGAAAAGTTCTAAAAATTAGGGGTGTGGAAAGCTCCAAACATTCATAGAATGAATGGGTGATGGCAGAATATTACACCATAGCACACTCTTGTATCAATAAGCTGATTAATTACAAGCATAGGTACTTAAGATAGGCAAATTTCACAAGCATTTATGTGAATTTAAAAAACCCGCGGATCTCTGTGAGTTCGAGGCCGGGCTGGACCGATAGCCTCTGAAACAATACAGAGAAACCCTGTCTTGTTTTTAAAAAAACCCACAGTAGCATGTATTAATAAGGTCATAGGATAAGGTTCAAAAGACTATCTCATAGGAGAGTTACAGTCACCGTTTCTGAGGGTGAGCTCTGGAGGCAGATTGGCTGTATTTATATTTTAGCTTTCAGTGTTTTCTAGCTGTGTGGCCATAACCCCCTGACTTGTACACTGAGGGGCTTGACATGCAGAGTTTCACAGTTGTTGTCCTGGAATAGTGAGCATCAGTTAAGACCTGTGGGAAAGGAAAACAAGCAGGATCCTGGAGCCCAAGGATAGTTTGGTTTAAAATACCAGTTGAGGCTTTTAGCTAAGTTATTGCTCTGAAGAAAGCAGAATTACAATAACAAAATCAATAAGATCCACATATGTATAAGAAAAGAACTTCTACAGTCCAATTTCATTCTCCACAAAACAAGGAGTCATTCTCCTCCTCCTCTCTCCTCTTATTGCTTCTTCAGTCAAAGAATAGGATGGATGGAAATGACAGGAGACAGAATACAGAGCCATTGACCTTCATGTCTATGCTAACAGTTTATTAAACTCATGATGAGACGGGACAAGGTTAAATGGCCGCCATGTTAACATAATTATTGTAAAAGTGACGATTTTCTTTCATACATCTATAGATTTAGTTTCTCATTAGTGGTACTTCTAGTTTGGTTACTAAAGTCTTGTTCTGGGTAATTAAGTGACTTCTTGTTTCTATATCCTTAGACTTAATTATTATACAAGGTTTATTCTGCTTGCTGATAGTCTAATGCTGAGTAGGAAGAATGAAAACCAGTCACTTAACTGAACATGAATCTTGCATGTAGTTCTGTCTAGTATATTTCTTAAGTCTATACATAAAAAACTAAACTCAATGATTTGATTAACCACTTACCCTCTTATTTCTACTTGAGCGACAGCAGTGATGTTGATTTGCAGGCTCACAAAATTGCTGTCTGGATTGTCCTTGTTGGAGCTAAAACACAGCGATGACACGATGTCAGTATCCATTCTCACACTCATGGGAAACATTCTGTATATCACAATAGCAAACCACACTCCTAATTTCGTCACTTGGAAAAACCATGGTATTTATTCAACAAAATCATAACCATTTGTCCAGGGAGATGCTAAGAGCTTTGGGGATCCACAGAAACCAATCAACTGTCCCTGGGGTGATGCCTCATTTGAAAACACAATGGAGATGGAAAGAGACCAATAGATTTAGTTAGAGTAAACTGAAGGGGCACCAAATTGCATTTGTTTTCCTGCTTCTACTTCAGACAAATTCTTTCCCCGTCATGCTCAGTGCCATTCAGATAGGAAATGACGGCTCAGTAGACTCCAGATTTTCCATGCTAATAAAGCAGAGACTGGCATAGATGATCCAGAGCAGCATATAACTGAGAAAGCTTTTGGTCTTGGCTTTACAACACATCACACCATATATTGTTTTGTTGGCAATTTTATCTTCTGTATGGTTTATTTCTTAAGTTGATGTTAACATTTAAATAAGTGTTTTATTATATTTATAAGTTAATATTAATATATAAAGTGAGTGTTTACAGTCATTTCATACTTATGGGCTGTCTATGGCAAGGACCAGGGGGAGTTAGAAGCCTGGGCTATGGCATTGAGAGGCACAGAAAGCTGGGCGTTGCATAAGCAAACAGGTCAGAGGACATGGATACTTGTGAAATGTTTCAAGAGTCTTAAGGGAGGATGAGTTTCATAACTCCTCTTTGAATGTGGCAGAGAAATGTAAGTTTGCTGTTTTTCCCTCAAGAAAATACGATTAATTATCAATTACGGAACTGAACTTGGTAAAAAGAATACATGGTAAGCAGTCAGGGTTTATAAGGAAAATGAACTAGAATCCCAAGAGGCTCAAGCAGTGCATCTTGGATGCTGCTGCCACCCACACTGTGCTTTCTTCAAAGTCAGAGGTGGACACTACCACTCCAGGAGGTGCTTATGACCAGGTTTGTAAGAAGAGAAAAGCCTGCCTTGTGGTCCTCATGAGTGCTGCTTGCATTCACTGGGCAAGCTCACACTGTGAAGATGGCAAAAGGGTAGATTTGCATTAGTGTTCTGATGCTCTCACAGTGAGGGCTTGGCAAAGGAGTGGATAAAAGCCTGCTTCCAGCCAGAGAAGACAGGGTTGTTTCAGAAGTACCTTTGAAAAGACCTGGTCAGTTGTAGTTATTGATAAGGCACTGGTAAAGATATAAACTGGCAAATATCAGGCTCATTCCGTGATGGGGACTTACCCTGCTGAGCTTGTGGCAGGTCCACAGGGACTTCCACCTCAAAGTTAAAGCCCAGTCTCCAACCACTAATTTCACTATTACCACATCTAGGGGGAAGTGCTTATTTCCCCCCCTTTAAAAGGGAACATTTAAAAATTCAACTACTGAAAATTATCTTTGAACTTGAGTTTAACATGAGGCTGTGAGAGGATATATTCATTGTTTTTAATCACATGTATTTATTTATCCATTTATATGTGTGTATGTGAGTGTATAAATGGGCCACAGAATGGGAATGGAGGTAAGAGAACTGTAGGAGTTGGCTCTTTCTTTAAAACCAAGTAGGTCCTGGAGGGACTGAACTTGGCCATCAGGTTTGGCAACAAATATGTTTATCTGTTGAGTCATCTCCTCTGGCCATCTCCTTTGAAATCCAGCAAAGTAGTGGCTGACATAGCTCAGTACCTCTTTGTTTAATGACCCTTACTCCATCACAGTATGCCAGTGGTGGAACACTTGCTTTGCATTGTGGCAACGCTGACAAGGTTCCCCGTAAAGAAGGATCTGGCTCGATATATAACTCAGATGCTTCCGTGACATCTTTCCTGGAAGGAATTTCCCTTCTGGGATTATAACCCATGTCACATGAAAGGGACATTGTTATTCTCTTTATTAATTCGACCCCATTTCTATTGTCTCCTGTTTCATAATATTCCTTCTGTATTCCTGGCCTTGGAATGCTAATGAAGACATTATAATGCCATTTAACCATTACTGAGAAAGCAACTTCAAGGATACTCACAAAGGCACGTGTATATGTGGAACTGTGAGCTATCATTCAGAGTGGAGAGCCAGTTCCCTGTACAGACTTTGAGAGACCATTTTATGCAAATATTTTGTAAAGGGAAATATTTTAAGTGGATTAATGTGTGAAGCCAACGTACCTTCTGACTTTAATTTGTACAAAAGGACATTCGCTGGGCATCATGGTGATCAATACATGAAAAATTGCAGACTGTGAAGCATTTGATTCATTTTCTTGTTTGAACATATGTAACTTGAATGCAAAGCTTCCTCGATGAATTCTTATATCTTTGGAGTTAGCTAGCAAAGCATACTGATCACCACCTTCAAATACTTTTATTTCCCAAATACATTGAGAATTTGATTACTGATGCATAACCAAGTTTTTCCCTGCATTTTATAATTTTCAAAATAATCTAATATTATCTTGAGCAGAAATGAAATATGATCATGGCTTGTTTTTAGAAGAATGTGAATGTTAACGGTGTGGTCATTTCTGATTCTACCATATTCAACACTTCATCAATGAATTCATTTTTATAAGAGAAGTATCTTTCCCCAAGTGACAAAAGGCTTTATGCCAGTAACAAAAGGGTTTTTATCCATGAAGAATCAATGACATCAACAATGATGGAGAGAAAAAGAAGCCTCAGGATTTTATCTAAGGTGACATCAGTGCCTTCACTTTAATAATAAACACTCACAGGATTTTAAAAATGAAAGAACTGGGGACCGCAAAAAAAACTTTGGGGAAATATATGTTTGGATAGATGTGAAGAACTAATTTAGTAATCTTTAGATAAAATGAATTGTTGCAGGAGAATCAGTTGTTTAAATCCCATCACTAATGTGGGTAAAATCTCAAGTCCTAAGATTCAAAAAGGTCAGAAGCTAATTAAGCTAATTACAATCAAGAAGCTAATTAAGGAGAAAAGAGTCTCTGGGCCAGTTAGAAGGCTTGCTTTCCCTAGAAAGTTGGATGAAAGCTTTGGGTGGGGGTAGGGAGAGGAAGCAGGTAACACATTTAGATTTAATTGATTACATCCTTATCCTAAGATTTTTCTCAAACCTTTAGTTGATGTAACTATTCTACCACACAGATTATCATAAAAGTTATCATATTCTAGTGCCCCTTTGTCTTATAAGATGTTAAAGTAAATTACATAGTATTTGATAACCAAGTAATAAACACCAACTTTACAGCAATTTGCACAGTTATATCAGGGGTTCCACATACTGGGAAAATATAAATAATAATGGGAAATATCCATATGACGTCTGTATCAGTGTTTTTAAAGCTTTATAAATGCTTGACTGCAAAAGGAGTCCATTTGGTAGGGCATCTTGTTAGATTTATGTCTTTCAGTGAGGAATGTCTCATGCCCAAGACAATTATTCTGTGTTATATGTTAATTATATCATGTTACATCTATTCCACTCCACTCCATTCCATTTCCTTTTCTTTTTGTTTTTCTTTCTTTCTTTTCTTTTCTTTTCTTTTTTTTTTTTTTTTTGGTTTTTCCAGACAGGGTTTCTCTGTGGCTTTGGAGACTGTCCTGGTAGCTCTTTTAGACCAGGCTGGTCTCGAACTCACAGAGATCTGCCTGCCTCTGCCTCCTGAGTTCTGGGATTAAAGGTGTGCACCACCACTGCCCAGCCCCATTTCCTTTTCTTTCAATATGAGTCTAGAACCATTAAATTGGTTCCATTACAATGGGCTGGAGTTCGGATCTGGGAAACCTGGGTGAGCATGTTGTATAGGTCTTCCTGTTGATGAAAAGAGCAAACAGAACAGACAATGAAAAGTTAAGGTCATGACCAGATCCATGGATAGATTATTCATAGAACAGCTAGGTAGCTGTCTGCGTGGCTCAGGATTGCTAGAGAAGGACCTGGTCCCCACATGGTGTTAGGTAGTGTTGACCTGCCACAGAACTGCCACTCATACCATCCAGAGTCCTGGTCCTTCTTGAACCTTCAGGAGAGGACAAGATTTCACTTGCAAGATCTATTTTTTCCCATATTTCCCCAGGAGAAATGGCTGCCTGCTGAGTGCAGAGTAAGGTTAGGTTTAGTGCCTAACTTTATATAATATAGTATTGTATAATATAGTATAGTACCGTCCTGTACAGTATAGTACAATAGTTCAAGAATCCTGTGTTCACAAGGAGAAAAAGAAGAGGTGAATCAACAGGGGTCGGGAGCTGTTCAAGACAAAAATCTATTTTACACCCTGGCCTTAATCTCTTTCAAAATATAAAATAACAAAAGAGGTAAAATAATTGAGAACAATGAAAAAGAATGGGGTGGTGAGAGTCTAGATTCTAATTCTAGGAGAATTTTTAATGTGCAGGCACTTGGCAACAAGGTATATATTTCACCATGCATATCTTTATTCATGAGGTTTGTCAACAAAGTAAGCATTCAAAAGTCTAACCTTCTGACTTGGAGATCGAAGTTAATGCTTGTGTTTGTTTTCTCCAGACGAGGGACAGCAAATCGGAGGCCCAGAGAAAACTAAAAGCAAAACACAGCATACATGGGACACAAAGGTATCCACAGGAGGACCCTATACACATTGTGACAGTACTGCCTTAGTCAGCCCTCCACCCCTACTCCAACCATCATCACTTTTATCTCCTGCTCTGGATGTCTGGGAGATAAGAGGAAATCTGCACAAGAGACCACAGGGCCCAGAAGACTGGGCTCAATACACATTTTGGCTCTCTCTGTTTAACCTGGTTGCCTCTTTTCTACCTCCTTGATGCAAAACTTCTAACAACACAAATAGAAACGATTTAGAGAACTGCAATGCTTCTGTTTGACAGATGTGGGTGTAGTTGCAGAGATCTCAGCTGTGATGCCAATGCAATAATGTAGGAGATGCTGCTAACACAATGATGCTCAACCAAGAATGGAGGGTACAGAGTTCTGTGTGCCATCTATGTTAGTTATGGTTAGGAAAGTCCACACAAGCAGAATTGCTTTATGTTTAGAACAGTGGGAGTGTATTGTAAGGAAATATTCCAAGAGAATATGTTGTAGTCAGGTTGGAGTTATGGTTATGTGGACTCCTTTGTCCTCCTTTATTTTCCAAATTGTAAAAAATTTCTCTTAATATTTTTGTATCCTGAAATAGATTTTTAAATTGAGAAAAGAAAACTCATGAGGAATCTAGATGAGGAAGTGAAAAAGATAACCAATACAATGATACCATCTGTGTACATGATGGTGGTACATGGTCATCCAAATACTGTTTTGTGCCCTGCTTGCCTTGTCTCAGGGAATGACAACCTCTCTGAAGTAGGGACATTTATTTATGTTGACATCATCCAACCCAATAGCTATCTGAGGATTAGAGTAACCAAGGGCCCTGCTCCAGATACAGAACAAATCCAGGGCAGAGCTGGAATTTCAGTCCCTGTAAGATGGATTCCAGAAGCAGCCCTCACAGCTATTGCACTGTGAGAATAAAGCCAGCGATCAAAACCAATGTTACTTAAATCAGAATCAACGACCTAAAACAATTTATCGTAGTTCCTCCTTCCCATGGTCCTTACCTGATGGTTTTGGCTATATGCATTAGCATCTTTTTGTGAATATATGTTTGTGTGTGTGTGTGTGTGTATGCGTGTGTGTATGTGTGTGTATATGTGTGTGTATGTATGTGTGTATGTGTATATGTGTGTATGTTGTGTGTATGTGTGTGTATAAGTGTGTATGGTGTGTGTATGTGAGTGTGTATGTGTGTGTGCATGTGTGTATATATGTATGTGTGTATGTTGTGTGTGTGTGTATATGTATGTGTATGTGTGTGTATGTTGTGTGAATGTGTGTGTATGTATGGGTATGTTGTGTGTATGTGTATGTGTGTGTGTTGTGTGTATGTGTGTGTATAAGTGTGTATGTGTGTATGTGTGTGTTGTGTGTGCACATGTGTGTATATATGTATGTGTGTGTATGTTGTGTGTATGTGTGTGTGTGTGTATGTATATGCATGTGCATGTGGATGTATGTGTGGAAGCCTGAGGTTGACATTGGGCTTCCCTTTCTCTAGCTCCCCACCACGTGACCTCATTTTTATTTCTGATTTAGCTTGTTATGATCATTCGCTGAACCTGGAGCCAGGGATCTTTCTGTGTCTGCCTCCCCAGCACTTGGTTTCAGGCTTGTCCTGAAGCACCTGGCTGGGGAGAGCACATGAGTCTTGGCTGGAAAGCATGTGCAATGCTTTATGCCCCAGTGAGGAACTGCTTTAAGATTTCAAATGTGTGTTTTCTGTTGGACCTCTGCATATGCTCTTCTCTCTTCTTTGGAAGATTTTTACTTTTACTTTGTCTTGTTTTTGTTTTTGTTTTTGTTTTGTACTTCAAGAGCTTTGGAAAACTCCGGCTTTGTGACTCAGGGTAAGAGAGGTAATGAATTGGCTGACGTCATGGCCTAAGTCAGGTATGCTTTCCTTCTTTGTCCTTTGTCTGCATTATAATTCTCTTCTCACACAGCCCACAATGTTGCGAATATCAAGTGTCCTGTTACATAGGACTAATGTGTTTCCATATTATCAGGCATTTTCTAAGTAGCAGGCTTCTGGTGGTACACCAAGAAGGGTGTGATAAAGATTGTTGAAAGAATGAGTGTGTTCTTGTGCATGTGTGCACTCACGGAAGTCTCCCTATATTGTGGTGAAGGCTGCCTGATGTTGGTTCTCATTGCAAAACGATCCACATAAAGTGAAGACAGACTAAGACTGGACAGTTTCCTATTGGTGAGCAGCACAGGCAGGAGCTGGAGAGACGATGACTCAGCCGTTAAGAGCCCTTGCTGCTCTTTCTCTTCTGGTCCCTATGGACAATCCTGCACATGTGGCATGCACTCTCTCACATATGTCCATACACATGAATAAAATTTAAAAATAGTCATACATATAAACTAAAATAAGCATGACAAAATAGTAACTAAAATATTTTGGCTCATTTGTCTTCCTATTTTTTGGAGAAATTTGCAATCTATGAACCTTGTTAGCATATAAAAACTATTTTATATCACCATGACATCTGCATGTAAATGACTTTTCTCTTTAAAAATTAGAAGTCAGAAAAAAATTAGAAGTCAGACTTCTGATTACTGAGTTCACAAGTTTAAGTTGAAATTGAAGTCACTTGAAAATTTTTATTTTAAATATTCCTGGTGATTTATTTATTTGAATCTTTTTAAACACAGGGACTGTATTTCCAGCTGCAATTTGCTCCACCCCTTGGATGGGAAGTGTTTTCTAAAGAACAAAATGAAGAGTGAGTGAATCAACATGTTTTATACCAAAACAGAAAGCAATAAAATTTGATGTGTTTGAGGGCATTAAAGGGCAAGATAAGAAACCTATTAGCTTTCTTCTACTAGGGACCTGGAGATAAATGAATCTAAACAATTTACTTCCCTGCCTTCTTAAGATTATTTGCTGGTAAAATGGATTGATAGCCTCTCACATAAACACTTCCATGGTTCAGACCTCACTGCTCTTTCCACCCTTTCTTTTCTCAATGTGGCACTGGCAGGCAGTGTGTAGTTCAGTTTTAGTCACAGTTATTGCTGCTTTTAGATCATCTGCTGTTTAGATTTAACACTCTCACTATTGACCAAGAATGAGTGACCCTACCTGTAGACACTGACATTGATACCCTCATGTCAAACCAGTTTCTTCCTGTCTTTTAGGTAAATACCTTTATATTACATTGAGTGGTTGGGTTTATCTCCTTGCAAACCAGCAAAAAACAAATTGCTAGTTTCTAACTAAAAGGATTATAATGGGCAAATGTCCCATTCTGTCTTTCATATCTTCTTTTTAACATCCATCTGTTGTTCATTAGTTTTCATTCAAGTGCTTTCCACAGCATTGGAGACCAAATCGAACATGGGCTTTGTGGTCAGGCCTAGTTGCAATCCTGGTTCTGCCTTTCATCATCAGTGTGACTTCAGGCAATGTGTTTGACTTTGCAGGCCACAGTGTCCTTGTCTAGAAAATAGGTGAGATGCAGTAAGATAACATTAAAGTAGCTATTGTCTAATGATGGGCTTGGAACACAGAGGAAATGAGTCCATGAGAACCAACAGGAATCTATTACAGGAATCCGACTTGCATTAAAATGTTTACATTAATGAATTAATTTTTTTAATACAAGAAGTAAGTTTACATGAATCCACCTAGCTACATTTTTTAAATACCCAAGATCAGTACAATACAGTGGTGCAAAAGAGTAAAACTTTTATTCAAATGTACACTATCCTAGAGTGTAAACTGGGAAGAGCTATTATTTAAGAAAAAATTGCAGATATTCAGTTAAGTCTGTGAAACACTGGCATAAAAGACTGATTTTCTAGAAGACTTATCAGTACCTTTGAAATATAATCTGGATCCTCCCAAGGGATGCATAGGATAGGTGACAGTGTCCCCAGAGCCCCCTTTAAAGGATGGCCGAGGGGTGTGGCTGTTTAGAGTCCACCAGGAAGGTGTTCCCATGTAAACGTATGCAATCATACGTTTCCACAAAGTTCTTTTCAAACAGAATATTTCGACAATAACAAAACACCCAAGTTTAGGATTTTGTATGTTCTCTTTACTGTGACTTAATTGTATAACATTTTCAGATTTCAGAATTTTTTCATGACTGCAAAATTGCTACTGTTATATTTCTTATGAGGTGTTGTTGAACAGCTAAACTGTAGTCAGATAAAATAACTTTCTTGTATTTAAAAAATAAATTGATTGATTTGTTGATTTGCTTGTGTGTATGTCACATGTGTGCTGGTGTTCATGGAGGCCGGAAGAGGCTGTTGAACACTCTGGAGCTACAGCTATAAGTTGGTTGTGAGCTATCCCATGAGGGTGCTGGAAACTGAACTCTGATCGTTTGGAAGAAAGCAGAACTCTTACTGCTACGACGCCTCTCTACCCCTATTTTTCAAACATAGGCCTAATAAAGATCATTTGCAAACCAGAGTACGACTCTTTTTAACATGAACATATTCATATGGGAGGCATATTGGAAAAGAGGTTTTTGTCTCCCCCCCCACAAGTGTCATACAGCACAGGCTGCCTTGAACTCACTGTAACTTGGGGGTGGTCTTGAATTTCTGTTTCTCCTTCTGTCAACTCTTGAGTGCTGGCTTTATAGGCATGTGACCCCACTCCTGGTTGGTTTACATGGCACTGGGGATGGAACCCCAGGGCTTTGTGTGTGCTAGGTAGGCATTCTATCAAGTAAGCTACATTCTTCGCCCTCCTAAGTAGTTTTTTTAAAGCTTTTTTAACTTAAAATTGTAGTTTTAAAATAAAGTCTATATTAAAATTAAAAGAAAAAACAAAGCAAAAGTCTGATGTGTACATGTTACTGACTTTCTGTGACTAAAGATACAATATGTAAAGTCTATAATGTGTGTGAAAGCATATCTTTTTGTGGTTTTGACCCACCATTATCACTCCATGTAGGTTAATATGCTAAATCCCTCTATGCCAGTAATTTCCTGGGCAATCTGTTTTAACTGCTGTTTGCTGGGTGCTAATTGGGGAGTTTTCCACTAGTCCTCTGTAAAATTCAATTAGCCAGAGATCAGGGAGGACTGCTGGTATTCTCTTACATTTGTTCCAGTCACCATCGGGTTCCCAAGGTCACACACCACCATCCTGGTCACGTTTTCCATCTTGTACTCACAGCTCAGTGGCCGCAGTCCCTACAACAGGAAAAGAACACCATTGTGGAGTTCAGGGGCAGAATGAGTTACATCCTGTTGCATGCAATGTGGGAGGCCTCAGTGCTCCCCTTGATTTCAAACACCTGTGTGGGTCACTCTGCACACAGTTAATCCAATCTGATTCCATTGACTCAAGAGCAAAAACCAGAGGAATGGGGACAACTTAAACTTTTAGGGAAAATTGTGTAAACACATGTTTTGCTGAGGAATAAAAAGGCCCAAACAGTATTTATGCAGACATTTTGTACTTTCACTAATCTTAATGTTAAACTCAGAACAGTAAGACCAAAAAGTGATCAAAAACGAACAAACAGATTTATTCATTATATTACTACTACAAAAGCGAATTGGTGGGGATGCACAGTTATTATGTCTCCATGGTCATTTGTAGGGGAATTGCCTCTAACCCAACTTTCTACACATCACAGAGGAAGTTAAAGATGACCCCTTCATTAGGTCTTACATGTCAGATCCTTCAAACATCCAAGATGTAATTTTTTAAAAATTAACTTTTTAGTTTGGAATACAAAGGAATGAGTTTATTATGGCATTTTCTTTCTTTTTTTAAAAAATACTTATTTATTAGTGTGTGTGTGTGTGTGTGTGTGTGTGTCTGTGTCTGTGTGTGTAAGCACACATATGTTTGGGTGACTTTGAAGGCTGGAAGAGGGTGTTGGATTCCAGGATTTGGAGTTCCAGGCATGATGCCCTTGAATCCTCTCTCAGCCCTTGCTGATGCGTTTTCATATCTATGTGCTATGTACACATTGCTTTCAATTGTCCTCACCTGCACTGCACTCCCATGTCCTCTGATTAAGTTTATGGTTTGTGTCTAACTGGTTCTTCCCGTTTCTGCCCCTCTCTACACCCGACCCCGATTAGAATCTGTGAGTACTCCAGCTTGAGGCAGTTCTTGTTTCCTCTGAGTAACTCTCAAGGTTGGGCTGATGAGAAGGGGCTCAGAGAGCTTGCTTTGCAGCTTTCCTAAGCCCAGCTGTCTTCACACTGAAGCCAATGGCCTGGAAATCCACCTTCACTTTCCACTGAATTCTCTTTCCATCTCTCAAAACCTGATGGTGTATTTGACAACTTGTTACATTACTCCATCATTTCACTCTAAGTCATTCCAAGTCATCGAATTGTGGCCTGTCACCTTCATCCCCAAAGATAATATATGGACGGCTTTCACATTGGAGTACCCTTTGGGGAACTTCTAAAAAGTCAGTAGATGAACGTTCCTAAGGTGATGGTCCCTTATTCATGTGTTAGTGCTGCTGGGATTTTATTTAAGGAAACAATATAAGGTTTTCAAGGAAAAGCTTTAGAAATGTTTCCCTATTCCTTTCTACTTTAGGGACACTACCCTCCCCCCAAATCCTCACCAAAACAAAGGAAAAAAAACCTCTAGTCTCTACATGAGGAATGCTACAGTCAACACATTTGAGACTGTAAGTATTAGGGCATCAGGGCTTCTGGAAGCAAGCCCATCTCAGGTCTCAGTGTCTTGAGCAGAGTTTGCACAAAGCAGCTGAACAGGACAGAAGCAGCTCACCCACTGTCCCTTAAAGAGATGGCAAAGGGATGCCCACTGTGAGCATCACCCAGGTAGACATGCACAATCTGGTTAGTGGGAAAGAGCTGAGTGACACAAGTTCTTTATAAATACCTGCAGAGGGTGTGGTAACTATCACACATCTCTCCAGAGCTCGTAATCTCTTTACTCAAACGTAGGTTTATCATGTATTCTTCTTTAGAACTGGTAACTAAGAGTTATTAATCATGAAAGCAAAATGAACTTAAAAGGCCCTTTGAAAGTATCCATGTTTCCCCTGGATATAACTCAAGGATTTAGTTTTTATAGTTGTATGTTTGGCTTGCTTGAAAGTAGAAGGTCACATGCACTTTTTAAATTAAAAATATGTATTTTGTGTGTTATGAGTATTTTACCTATATGTATGTGCCTTACATACCCAAAGAGGCCAGAAGGTGGCATTGGATCCGCTGGAACTGGAGCTATGGTTAGCTTCAAGTTAGCATGTGGGTGCTGGGAACCAAGGCCAGTTCCTCAGCAAGAGCAACAAGTGCTCTTGACTGCTCAGCCATCTTGTCAGTCCCCACACGCACATTTTCCCACCTTTCCACAAACAGTTCTTTGACATCAACTGAAACACTTTCCCTCCTACATCCCCTCTTTCCTGTTTTAATATTTATTTCTTCTCTCTCTCTCTCTCTGATGAAAAAAGAAACCAATTGTTTTTTCTAAACATTTCTAGATTGTTTTTCTCAGTGGTTCCAGGGACATTTTTTTGTTCTAATCCATTTATAGCTCTTCGAGCATTATTCACTGCCTTACTCATTCACTGAAAATATTTGTCTTGGGTCGGCTATTTTACCAGGTAAATGAGACCCCACGTCCTTACTGAATTTCTAATCATGGTAACAATTCTAGCAGATGAATTGTAGCAAGCAGCAGAAATGCAGTCACAGAAGAGTTCAGTTTTTTGTTGTTGTTGTTTTGTTTTGGTTAGACAGTAAATAGGATTTAAGGAAGGTATGCATACATATTTAAGCTATCAAAGAAGAGGGCATCCTAGAAGGGGTAGAATCTCACTAAGCTAATGGGGAAAGGGCTTATTGGTACTTCAAAACAGATGAGATCTGATTGGCTCTGCAATGCAACAGCCAAGTAATTTGAGCACACCGATCAAGTATCCTTAGCTATGAACTCCAGAACAAATTTGATTCTTCTCTATAAGGTCAATATCATGATCCGGCAAATTCAATGCAAGCAAGAGCTCAGAGCAGTATCCAGACCATGTCAACTGTGCAGTACATGCTGGTGACCTTCATGTTAGCCACCTGCAGTTATTAGTCGGCTTTAACCATTGTGAAGACATGAAGGATAAGCATAAAGAAGTAAGGCTGCTACAGAGGGTGAAGTTTTAGAGCCAGTGTGTCAGGGGAAAGATCACATTGGAGGCATGAACTGAATAGAAATTCACTCCAGTGGGAATTTAGGTCACAGGGGTGAATGAAACAGCAACTAATAGGGAGGCTTGAGTCACAGGGAGAAGGAAGAGCATGAAGGATTAGCCCTTTGAAGGATCTGAGTCTTACCCAGAAAGCAGTGGAGAATGCATGAAGGCTTCAAGACAGAAACTAACACAGTCAGTCTTGCTTGTTAGCATGATGGTTTCTGTGCATCAGAGAGGCTTGGGGAGGGGAGATGGAAGAGGAGGCTGGAGGGGGAGATGGGGAGATGGAAGAGGAGGCTGAAGCAGGAAATGGGGAGATGGAAGAGGAGGGTGGGGGAAAAGATGGGGAGATGGAAGAGGAGACAGTTAATATCCTGGTCTAAGCTGTGTCAGCCTGGAAGAAGGCAGTGGTGATTTCAGTACTTGGAGAGAAGGATGAGGACTAGGCAGATTTGGGGTTGATTTTAAGCTGCAGATACCAGGTGGTTGTAGATACCACTCTCTGAGACCGAAAATGAGCCATGAGGATGTGGGAGAGTGAAGTCTTGTTGTAGAGATGGCAAAGGTTGGGAGGGATTTGAGTGGGTATGTAAATGAGGTGTCTAGAATAGCAAAATCCACAGAGACATAGATTAGGAAATTGTCTAGTGGAGAGGGGAAGCAGTAGAGAATTATTTTATTTTGCATGGATACAGAGCTTCAGCTTTGGACAGTGGCAAGTTCTGGAGTTCAATGGTGGTGATGGTCACACAACAATGTGCATGCAATGCTGCTGCTATTTTCCCATTAAACATGGTTAAGCTGGTCTAGGTAGGTGGCTCAGTACAATAAAGCATTTGCTACACAGATGTGATGACCTGAGTCTAGGTTTCCAGTGTGTACATCAGAGCCAAGCACCTCAGCATGCGTTTGTAATCCCAGCACTGGTGTGTGGGTGAAAACCAGTGGTTACCACGGGCTCACAGGCCACTTAGTCTGGCCACTGCAGCTAGATGCAGGTTTAGTGACAGAGATAAATTGCCTGAAACAACTAAGGTGAAGAAGTGACTAAAGAGGACATCCTGATATCAGCCTCTAGACACTCTAGACACACACACACACACACACACACACACACACACGAGTATGCACTACATTTGACACATCTACCACATACCTGTATATGAGTGAGTGCATGTGCAAAACATATGCACACATTCATATACCATACTCATGTATACACACAATGGTTAAAGTGGTAGATTTGATCATACAGGTGACTACAGTAACAATGTATGTAGATAGGGTTTTCAATTCCAGTTTTCTAGAAGATGAAAGTTTCCAAGACACAACATCAAAACTGACTACCAGGGAATACCTACTATATTTTCCGTATGAGGCAAGCTTTTATATAAAAATTTCTATGCTGAGTTTAGATTTAGAAGTCCCAAACTTCAAACTCCTTAAAAAACAAAAGAAATCAGGTCAGTTTAGACATGGAGGGTGTGGAGAAAGTCTCTGCCCAAGAACCATTGATAGAGGGTTAACAAAAGGCTAGGTTAGCTTTCAGTTGTGATTATGGATAACGCTTGTTACAATGTTTATAGTCAAAGATATGGTGATAAGGGCTCTCCAAAGAAATGAACAGCAAACTAGTAAAAGAAATTTTAAAACAGATGCTTTTTAGAAACAAAGTCAAGGGTCTCTGAGATTATGTGTAGGAAATAAAAACAAAAATTTGAGGGGAACCCAGAAATGTTTACAAAAACACATTTAAGTTACATGTTTATGTTTGCTTATATATAATTTTCATGTAAGCATTTGTAGGTGCCATGCTTCTGCTCTCTCTTTTTAAGAGATATATTTTTAATGTGTGTGCTTGTATGCATGCTCTCTCTCTCTCTCTCTCTCTCTCTCTCTCTCTCTCTCTCTCTCTCTCTCTCTCGTGTGTGTGTGTGTGTGTGTGTGTGTGTGTGTGTGTGTGTGTGTGTGTGTAAGTGAGAAGAGGCTGTCAGGTCACCTGGAGCTGGAGTTCCAGGTGGCTATGAGTGCTCAGCAGGGTTGGTGGGATCTGAACCAGGTCTTCTGTAAGAGCAGTTAGTGATCTTAGTCCCTGACCCATCTCTTCAGCCTTTCTTCTCTTTTGTGCTCCTTGCTTGCAGAGGTGTTATTATGAGATGGCATTTTCAATTCAAAACGGCCACTGAACACCAGGAATATGTTGGATGAGTGCTGCACTCTGCTTTTTAGATACCGAAATAACTTTAACAGAGAAACAAGCATAAAGGCATCATAACTAGAGGAAGGAGAAAATGGAACGATGTTAGGTCATTCCTTGGAGAAATCAGAATACCAAAGGATGCTGATGGTTGCAGTGGAGGAGGGAAAAATGCCATGACAACTGTGAATGCTCTTGAGGAGAGCAGGGAGACTCTCCCTCTAACTGTCATCCCTGCTCATGGATGGATCTGAACACTTCCCCATCACTGTTTTAAATCACTCTCTTGAGGACTTGGTACACAACCTGGCAAGTGTGGATACTTTTTAATCGCTTTCTTCAATATAAAAGCATAATGCTTTTAAGTGTCAAAGATACTTGATTGCTGTTTGGTTCAATTTTTTTGAGAAAATAACTCAACTAAAACAAGACATGTAAATAGAGAAATTTTTTACCCTCCATTTTTTCTTTTTCCTTTCCTTCTTTTCATCCCTTCTCTTCTTCCTCCCCTTCCTTTTCTCCTTCCTTCCTTCCTTGCTTCCTTCTTTCTTTTCCCACTTCTTTCCTCTGAAAGCCAGTATAGGCTGGCCTTGAGCTTGTGATCCTTCACCCTCTCCCTCCCAAGTGCTAGGTTATAGGGATACACATACACACCGAGCTCTTTCTATAGCTTTTTAAAAGCACTTACAATCACATTACTTCAGATGGGCTACTTTCCATGACATTGCTCAATCATTAGAATGTGAAAGCCCCTTAGAGAATGTGGTCTTGGGAAACTGGTAGACACGTAATAAATTATAGTTACATAAATCCATCAGCAAGCATTTATGGAGAGCATGTGCTATTCCTATTCCTGTGAAAGAATGTGAAACTTAGTCTCTGCCCTTAATTGAATGTCTCACATATTCCTGAAATGCAGAACCTGTCAATCTATCAACCATTTGTAACAGTGTTTTGGGGTTGTTTGCTTACTTATTTGTTTTGGTCTTTTTTGTTAGCTGATATGTAGCTCAGGCAGGGCTTCAACTCATGGATCCATTTGCCCCAGCCTCCTGGCTGCTGGGATTACATGTGTGTCCCACTGATCTATTTAGAATATTTTTCCAGACAAAGTGATTAAGAATACTTCAGGTTCCCAGGGCACACTGAATGGGAAGAGTCATGTTCTGGTAATGATCTGGAAGGCCATAAATAGCAATGGTGCCATTTCAATAAACAGCGATGCTGGGGACCGACACACCAAGGAGAAACAGGCCCTTCTCTGGTCACAGTCCTGAAAATGTGGACTCAGAAGAAAGACAAATGTGCTTGTTTCCCTTGCAGTTCCTGTTCAGGCTGTTATCAGTGCTCAGCAGGACTGGGTGGCTCGTCTTCCATCACCAGTAATAAAAACCAGGCCTCCCGTGTTCTGCTTGGAACTTAAAGGAACACAAAACAAGGCTTGCAAAGCCAGTGGGGAGTGGGGGTTAGCCTGGGAAATGAGTCATTTCTCTGCCTCTTTGGCTGCTCTTTTCTTTGCCTTGCTTCAGCTCCTGGTCTTTGGCTGGCTGGTCTTTGTACTGTGGCAAAATACTTCATAGCCCATCTCCTCCCTGGCTCACTGCTGCTATGAGCTGACAAAAGAAGGCACCATCCTGATCTCCTGAGCAGAAAGACTCAGCCTTGTTGGTCAGACTTAATATTTACTTGGAGTCAAGCCTTACCTTGTTGTTCCGCTCAGTCCCAACATAATCCGCTTCTTCGGGGATCATGACGAAGAGTTCAGCTTCGTAGGCTCCTTCTCCGTCGTTTCTTGCATTTATTATGAGCATAAGGTGATTTTCATCCCCGATAATTATCTGATGCTTGTCTCTAGGAACAGTTGAAAATGAGTGGGTGTGCAACTCAACGTCACTGGCTTCATGAATCTATTTTAGAAATTTAAATAATGTGTGCCTGTAATCTAAGCACTCAGGAGTTGGGGGTGGGAGAACTGGGAGTTTGAGGCCATCCTGAACTATTGGACTGCATAGCAACAGTCTGTCTCCAAACAAACAAATGAACAAACCAAGAAAAAAAGGTAATGATTTAGGAGGAAACAAAGAAAATATCAAATGTAAGGCCAGGAGTGAGAAAAAAGATAGCTGGTCAAGAAGGACAGGTAGGAAGATTTAAGAGAACAATTTCTGAATGGGGAAGGTGGAAAAATGTTCAATGATGTGCAAGCAGCTATTTAAAAATTTGTTCTAAAAAATAAAACCAATACATATCATTTGTAGATTCCAGGGTTGTGTCCTCCCACTGTGACAAATTTGAAGCTATCAACACACTGATCAGTCGGCTAACAAAACTCCTGCAAACTTAACATTTGACTTCGGAGCCAGAATGAAGAGCTCCCAACTCCTTCATATCTCTGAGAACACACATTAGGGAGAGAGAGCTGTAGAGAAAGAAAGAAGGCGTGTTTAGACAGTTAATAGAGAGAGGACACACGGCAACATGGATTCAAAGAGGGGAAAACAGGCAGGCGAAATAGGATCTCAAATGACTGATAGAGGGTTCTGAAGTATTTTAAGGAAATTTTGTTCACTTTGAACTCCAAATGAAACCAATATTTAGAAATGCCTCTTCCACTCAATGCTATTGCTTTTGACACTTAGTAAATTGTGAACATTGGGGCAAGTCCCCTTGAGAGATTACCGCACGGATTCCAAACTCTGGCAGTGCAGGAGTTCCTGGGAGAGAGGAGTACCCCTACTCCTATTTCTTGCCACAACATAACAGTGCAATTACCAGCTCTGGAGTCAGGGCTCCCCATTACTGGCAGCTGTGAAGCTCTTTGATTCTCATTTGACTCTCTGACACTTTCTGCTCGACTCCCCAGTGTGTCTTTTAAGTCCTCCCTCAAGTAAATTAAAATTAATTTTGTTTTGACAGTTTTAAGGAGGTCTTTGAGTCATGGGGTGCTACAAAAACAAGTTTGGTTAAGGTGTGGACTGAACTGGCTTGTCTGAACCCTTCCTCACTTGACTGAGCTTCGTAAATATAACTTGAGCCACACCACAGATGAGTTTACTTTCAACAAAAAAAAGCTTTTGCCACCCGCCCCCCACAACTACTGCTGAAAGATGAAATGGTCCAGGCAAGATCTCAGGGTGTGTCACTTGACACCAGTGACAGAGGACGGACCAGATCAGAGGCAAATCCAAAATGTGACCACTCTCAAGAATTTCATGCATCACTCTCTCACCCTCCCCTACCCCCAGTTCTTGGAAGAATATAGTTTCTCAAAAGAAGCTCTAAGTAAACACCCATGGACCACCAGGTGCGATGCACACGTTTATTTATTTAGACTTACGGTCTGGCTGACAGCTTCAAGTCGGGAACACACAGATTGTCTTCTCCACAGTCCACCAGGATGTGAGCCTGTGTTGAGCAAGTGGGGCATCAGAAAGAAACCGAGAAGATTCCAAAGGGTTCTACCAACGAAACCAACACTTTTGTTTCACTGCACAGGGGCCTGCCCAACTACATACACCGTGATATTAAGTGACCTCTCGACAGAGCCTTATTTCATAGCCCAGTTCCAGTTTGTGCTGAAATGTCTGTAGATGATGATAACTGGCACTGTTCTTAGGATTACTGCCTATTTTGCTTCCATTGTCACTATCCTTGAACAAATTAAATCTTGGTTGCAGAAAGGTAAAGGTTTCCAAAATCGAAATGAGGAAACATGCTAGGAACATGTCCCTAAGGCTATATACCTCTGAGCACAGATGGAAATAAAAGGGACCAGCATTCATCTTCAGGTCACAGGAACAACTCTCTCCAGAGAATAGTAGCAAAAATGCCTTCAGACTTTTACACTAAGGTCTTACCTGCTCAGTAACTACATTGTCCCTGTAGTGGTTCAAAATTGGTTTCACCTCCAAGCCATCTTTAAAGATGGAATCATCCAAACTGTAGTTCAGGCTAATGTTGATTGGAGATAATTTATCTCGGAATTCAGTTTCATCCTAGGGAAAATAATCACCAACTCAAGCCCATGAAATGACTACAAGATGTTAGTGTGTGACAATCAGGCAACACTGGATCCCAGTAGCATTAGTGAATGACAACATTCACTGTAACAGGCTGAATTGGGTGCTCACATGTGTGGTATGCAGTAGCCAACAGAAATAATGTTGATGAAATCACCTACAACCAAGGCTTCTCTGGGGTATTCTAGAGCAATGTTTCTCAACCTGTGGGTCACCACACCTTTAGTCATGACCTTTAGAGAGTTGAATGACCCTTTCACAGGGGTCGAATATCAGATATCCTGCACATCAGGTATTTACATTATGATTCATAACATTAGTAAAATTACAGTTATGAAATAGCAACAAAAATAATTTTAAGGTTGGGGTCACCACAACATTAGGAACTCTATTAAAGGGTCACAGCATCAGGAAGGTTGAAAACCACTGCTCTAGAGGAAATCCTCAGGTAGCCCATCCTCCCCACCTGACACAGCATAGTTCAATTCACCCAGTAAAACATACACCATAAATGCCAGAGAGCATTCAGAGTTAGGATTTTTGTTTTGTTTTGTTTTGGTAAAGTTACCAGAAGGTTCTCTTGGGTTCAGAGGCAGACAACATTTTACTCTTACTTCTTGTTCCCTTTTGTTATTTCTTTAAGTCAGTTCATGAAGTTCAAAACTACCTTCAGCACCTTTGAAGATGCCTTGGATAAAGAAACAGAAGGCCTCCTGGAGTGAGGAGAGAGCAGTGAGCTGTAAGCATGCAACTAGCATCCTGCCCTCCAGTGTACCAGCCAAGGCTTCTCATTCTCAAGTGTAGTTGTGAATCTTTGGTCCTCACTAGGATTCTCCATTAGCTAAGTCCCTGATGGGATGAGAAGAAACGGGACTACTGACCACCATCTAACAACTGGCAGCATGGCAGTGGATAATTGGGTCCCAGATAATATGAATTTTAAATTTCATGATAATTTGTAAAAAAAAAAACAAAAAATCACTTAAATAAACACAATTACAAATTATTTTTAATGAATGTTTGGTTTTCTAAATATTTTCCCAAGCCATCTCTAAATGCATCCTGATAAAAATCTAACAGGACATACTCACACAGGATTAAAAACAATCAAATAAATTGTGTTGGACCTTTATGTATGGGAGAGGGGAGGCAGCTAGAAATGAAAGTCACCTGAGTTAAGTGCTGTTATCAAGATTTTGTTCAAAGCAAAAAAGAAAAGGAGCCTTAGAAATTAATAGCAACAAATCACTGGGTTAGTTGAAGTCAGGGTCAGCAAGAAGTATTCAACCTTAAACTAGGGTTTCCTCCCGGGAAAATGAAGTAGACAGATGGGAGGTCTGTGGCACGTGTGATGGTCAATTAGATAGGAATGGCTGCAATTTGGGTTTGAATGTGAGATGCCCCAGAAGTGGTTTCTAGAAAACTTACTCGAAGGTAAACGAGAAAGTCCTGGCAGTGGAGGGATTTCTGCTGCTTTATCACAAAGGGAAAGGTGAGGTGGGACTGGTGGTTGTGGAGGAAGAGCGTCCGCTTAATGGCTCCTTTTTGCTTCAGGAAATCTAGCTGCACCTCGGCGGCCAGAGCTAGAGGACAAAGAAAGGGTAAACAAAGTCACAGGAAGAAAAACACTGGGAACCGGGAACACAGAGCGGTTGGGCAGGGATTCATTACAAGCGGCTTACTCAGGAAAGCTTTTCCCCTTCATGGCTGGATCAAATGATACATAAGCTGAAGGAATAGTTAAAACAATATTGTCCACTATGTAACCGTTTTGTGGCTTTGCATGCATGTGTGGTGTATGTGTGTGCACATGTGTTTATATGTGCATGTTTGTGTATCTGTGAGTATGTGTGCAAGTGGAAGCCAGAGGTTGACACTGAGTGTCTTACTTGATTCCTCCCATCCATTTATGTTTTGAGCCGGGGTCTCTCACTGAGCATGGAGCTCAGCAGTTGGACTAGAATGGCTGGTCAGTGAGGGCTAGGGAATGCCTGTCTCTACCTCTCCAGCACTCAGATGACACTCTGCCTTATTTGGCTTTTATGTAGCACCAAGGATCCAAATTTAGGTCTTCATGCTTGCACAGCAAGCACTTTACAACCAAGCTATCTCCCCAGCCCATGTTTTATAAATATATAAATATATACATATATACATATATATAAAACATCACTTTTCTAACAATTATGTTTTTTTGTAGCTAATGCCCACATTTAAAGAAGTATTAATTAGAAAGTTTTCAAATGTACAACAGAAATTTGAATTTTAATAAAGGATCCTTTAGTTTTCTATTGTCTTCACTGAGAAATATGTCATGTTTTCTTTGCATAGGATAGCATTAAAAATAAAAAAAACAATTGCTCACCTATTGTATTTGAAATGCTCTGGCCTGCTATAGATGCACAGACTCTTAAAGAAAAGCTGTGGGAAAACAGTAATTAGTAATTTGCTGGTTAATAGAGTTCTGATTCTGAGAGAGAAATCTTCCTTCCCCTCCTTCCAGAAAAAATGAACATACCATTTCCTTCTATATGTTTAATTATATACACATACACATGTGCTTATGTACACACCACACACACACACACCAGCTTGACACAACACTAGTACAATTGACAACAATGAGCTTTGCATAGATAGGCAAATCCTTGAAAATACTGATAGAGATTTAATCAATTGGTTAATAAAGCCCCACTGTCTTTATGTAATGAATACATATGAAGATTTTCCTTGAGCGATGAACTTAAGAATTGGTCAACACAGTGGGGAAATGTTATGGAAAAGCATGGACAACAGCAAAAAAACATGGCTCCACTTGAGGCAACTGAAGACTTTTCAGTGGGTTAAAGCTCCCGGCAAGCTGAGGTTGACTGGTTCAGTTGATAGGGGGCGAACAGGGCCTTGAAGTCATGGTAAGGCCCGCGGATTTAATCTTAATCATGGAACAACACACTGATCTTAATATCAGTCAGCCACACTGCTGGGGCGAGACTGGAACCAGGCATCTTGCAAGGAGTGAGGTAACGATGAAGGTGGAGGGAGAGAAGAGGTGGGAGAGAAAGCTAAAAGGGCTGACTTGAGCAGAGTGTACACACAGCTGTGGGTGTAAAGGCCTTGACAACTCAAGACACTTTGTAATTTTGCCTTCAGCATGCACTAACCACCATTCACAGAATGTGTGTGGTGATTGTCCCGTGACCTGAACTTGCCCTGGGCTATGGCCATAGACTGGATGAGAGATCTCCACTGTCTCCACCCAGCTGTCTCAGGTATTCTCCCCTCCTTCCTGAAATAGTCTGACAGCCAGGATTGTTGTCAGGGCCTGTGTGCATTGCTAAGAAAGTAAAGATGCAAGACAATAGACGATTTAGTGACAGTCTTAAGGATTTTACCAAGAAAATTCTAGTATAGCAGAGTATTTCTATGGAATTCAAAAGAAGTAAATACTCTCCAATCACGCTTTAATTGGACGTCAGCTTCCTGTGTCAAACGTAACAAAAAGGTGTCACATCTGGGATTCATCTGTCTCCATGACCTCAGTCAGTGTCCCCCTTCAGGGTAAGAAATTCTCGCCACACACCATTTAACCAAAAGTTTCCTGAGATGTCTGTGCTATTACAAGTGTTTATACCACTTCCCCAGAGAAATCACAAATGCAGCCCACTTCTCCTTCAGTTAGAATTATTCACGGAAGGTGGGTAGGAAATTACATCTTTAAATTTTCTGACATGGATTTGTTTTTCATGCCCAGCTTTTCCATAAGCACTTGGTATGTGTTACCACTGTCCACTGACCTAAGTTTTACTCTAAATCTAAATTTATAGCAAAATTATCAGTATGTTACAAATAAAATGAATTTACATATAGTAATTGCTTTTCTATACATAAAGCAATATAGATTTCATAAAAAAGTTGTAGCTATGAAGACAGATGTTGAGTTTTTGGAAAGAAGGAATTTGACAATGATACTGTCACCTGAAGGCTTTATCTTAGTTTATAAATTATGTCAGAGTACATTTGTATTTCTTTCTTAGTTCTCCATTTTTGTTGCTTCAACATCATTAACAATTGGATGACTTTAACTTTTTTCATTCAAATTTATTATGACTGCTATAGCCTGCTAAATTATTGATAGTAGCATTTCAACTTGAACCTGCCAGTTTAAGATGGCTCTAGTTAAAATACCTTCTCAAAGTGGCAGTTTTTCCATAGTTCTGTTCTAAATTTAAAAAAATTCTACAACAGTGGATGACCATATCCATTCTAAATACAGAAAAGTGTTATCAATATCTATAGATATATAGTGAAGAACTAGTCCATTCTCAGCTCAAGACATAATCAGGCAAAACTATAAAATGTGACTTAATTTGAAATATAATTTCGAGCTATTATTTATGTTCAAAGTTGGAAAAGCCCATTAGTCTCAACATTTTTTATTGAAAAAAATAAAACAAAGCCAAACAAAAACTACATGAAAACAACTGAGCGTTCTCATTGTGTATATCCAAATGAAACTATCAGCAGACAGGCTTCTATACACAGAAGGCAGGATGTATACAACATGATTCTCACACTATTTGCCTGCCCCCATGAACCAATGAATAATGAGCTTGTGGTGTAACTCTGCTCATGGCTGTGTATGATGAGAAGTGAGATAAATGTGAAATCTGATTTCAAAATACAAAGCCAGATATAGGAGATGCTCGGTTGGTTCAGTGCTTGCTGAACAAGCATGAACAATCTGGATTTGGATCACCAACATCCAAGTGAACCCCTCATGCCCAACAGCAGTCTTCCCAGGGCTGGGTTTAGGGGTGGGGAAGAGGTACAAAGACAGGTGACTCTAGGGCAGTGGTTCTTAACCTACGGGTCAAGATCAAATGACCCTTCTACAGAGGTCTCCTGTCAGATATCCTGCATAAATATTAGATATTTACATTATGATTCATAGCAGTAGCAAAACTACAGTTATGAAGTAGCAATGAAAATAATGTTGTGGTTGGGAGTCACTACAACATGAGGAACTATAATAAAGGGTCACAGCATTAAAAAGGTTGAGAACCACTGCTCTAGGGCTTTTGGCCAGCCAGAGTAGCCTAATTAATGAGACTGAGGTTCAATGAGAGACCCTGTCTCAAAACTAAGATGGAGATTGATTAAGAAAGATACCTGATACCAACCTGTGGCCTCTACAAACCTGTATGTACACATGTGCACATGTGCATGCACACACACACACACACACACACATATCTCACAAAGACCACGCACATTCACAAAGCAACAATGGAAATACAAGACAAATAATCACTCTTTCTAATTTATTTATTATTTTCCATGTATGTCCTTGATGCATGCGTGTTGGGGAGCACACATGCCATGGAGCTCATGTGGAAATCAGAGGACAATTATGTAGAATTGATTTTCCTTCCACCTCTGCTTGGGTTCTGGAGATTGAACTCTGGTCTTGAGGCTTATGTGGCAAGTTCCTTTACCAGTTAACCCATCTCTTTGGCCCACTATCAATTCAACTCTAATGATGAAAAATATATGATTTTATACAATGTTATTCATATCTGAAAAACCTCTTTTCTCAGATTGGAGATGTAGTATGCTTTGTTTATAAAATAGAAAAAATCAGTAGTTTTTCTCATTAGTAACCAATTATCTTAATATTTATTATGCTGAATTTATTTCACTTCTCTTTTTCTAACTGAGCAATGCCAACAGCAGATATTTTGTAAAACCAGACAGCCGACTGAAAAACACAAAAATCCATATGGAAAGAAGTGTGAAATGATTTGTGAGTTTGCAAAAGGGTTCATCTACAGTGCAAGCTCATGCCAAATCAGCCCAATGTCACAGCGAAGATGCTTGTCAAGCACTCTGGGTAAACTGCATGAAACAGTCTACATGGGTAAGCTGTTCGTTTCCTGTCTTCTGTCTGGTTGGTTGGTTGGGGTTCCGAAGATAGAACACAGGGCACTCTACCACTGAGATACACCCCCATCCCCAACTTTGTATTTCAGTACTCTGAAACACATGAAAACTTTTGCACTCAAAAATTATCTTCAGAAAAGGATACAATAGAATTAAGTAACAGTAATAGGATAGAATTAAGCAACAATAGTGTGAAAAATGTGAATAGAACAAAGTACATTTTATATTAGTAATGTGACTCCAATCAACAAGGAGGTGACTGGCATAAAGAAAGGCATTAGCTGAGAGGCTATTGGCAGTTGATGGCAGCCTGGATGACAGTAGATTTCCCTCAGCAGTGTGAACATTGGTGGGTTTCCAGTGCCCTATGGATAACAGCATCCACGCTCATGCCTATATCAGCAGCACTGACTGGACTCAGGGTTAAATAAATAACTACAAAAGGAGTACATTAAGTTGTGAGGAGGGTATGATGAGGGTCCTGGGGGCATTTGGGAATGGAGTGAGGGGTGGATATATGAGCAAGATACATTCTATGCATGTATGCATATTTTCAAAGATTAAAATTATTTTCCTGCACAATAGTAAATAGTCCTATACTCTTTTGAAAAAGACTTCAACCTCTTTTTTTTTCAATCCCCAAAACTAAGACTCTTTAGGAAAAAAGCATTTATTTCAAAATAAACACTTTCTATACTGGAGTGCTGCCATCTTGCCTAACAGAATGCAGTGTGGAAACAGATGGCTTTGAAGGTGTGAACAGAGGGCTCTTTGGAGAGTATTAGAGTTTTAATGCTAACAGCCAAATGGCACTCACAGCTCATTTAGTGTTCATTTAATCATGCCAGGCAATGGGGGAAATGCTGGCTATTTCACATATTCTCTCAGATCAGGTTTTCATTATACTATTTTATGGTTTGAAACATTTTTAAAGTTTGCTCGGGGCATTTCCCAACTACTTTCAAAGGCAGTTAAAGGAAAGGACAGCCCTTCCCACATAGGGAACCCCTTGCAACAGGATGTTTTGCAAGGAGTTCTTCAGGAGCCTGGAACTCTCTACCTACCCCCATAGCTTTCACTCCCATGGGAACTCCTGTCAAAAGGCCATCAGCAGTATGCTACAATGTGCTGGAAATAGCTTCTCTTGGTCAAGGATGGCTTGTTCTTTTTTCTGGTATTTCCAAGAACTGAACAGTTACCCTGTGAATCTTGAAAACCTTTGTTGATTTTCCAAAGGGAATGCCCTGGTACCATGGGCCAACACAATGTCTTCTTATGTTTGGGACCTCCACACCAACAAACAAACTGGTATTTTTTCTTGGGATGTGTTATAACCCTGTTCCATTTTGGCATTTCATGTGACAGACATAAGTCAAAAGCTGGGTAAGCTGTGTTTCCTATTGTCCCTTTTATCCTTGTATTATTATCATGGTCATAAGAACAGGTCAGTGTACAACAGAATCTCCTTTTTAATAACATTGACCTTCTGTCCAGTTACAAAACTGTTATTTTCAGCACATGAAGCTAAGTATCCCAGGATAGATTATTTATTTTTAAAAAGAGAGATACAATAGATCTCAAAAGCGGTATCCCCAATATATGCAAAAGTAAGAGTCAAGGTATTTTGGTGTGGTTTTGGATTGACTAACATTTAGTGAGCTTAACTGCCAATCTCCCAAATTTTTTGATCTTTTTTTAAATCTCAGAGCCTGTAGGTTAGAACACTGGCCTTTGTCTAAGCCCACAGTCAGAGCTAAGCATTGCATCACTATCCTCTGCAAAGACTCTGTTTTTGCTGCTCAGTCTTGGACTTGAAGATTTTTCTGGATATGCAGTGTACATGACCTCAGGTCCTATCCCAGACTTTCCACAACCAAATTTGCAGTTTTTAAAAAATTAAATAAGATCTAGGAGATTAACCCCATGTTAGAATGTGTGTGGGACTGTGCTAACTTACCAGGCTACAGGTGTCGGGAATTCTGGAATCTGGCAAGTTTTATTTTCAAGGTTGATAATCATCGGGTGCAGCAGGAGCTGGGCATCCACTGTTACAACTGGCCTTGCTCTGTAGAGAGAGAGTTGGGCATGAGTAGAATCTTTTCCTGATGAATGGAACTCTTCTTCTAGAGGTCATTGCCAACATACCTGGAATTCTGCTCTTGGCATGAACAAGTGAGCACCACACTCAAATGATACCCTCTAAACCACCTGAGAGCAGAGAGCTCTGAACAAAGGATTCTGGAGGTCTGTCAATAATGTTACATCCATTGACCTGATTTCTTTCTGGAGTGGACTCACTGTATTGTCATAATAATAATACAGCTCATGATTTTCTTGGATCCCTATGTCCATATGGGGGGAGTCATATGTTTTATTTAAACATTTGTTTTATTTTTATTTATGTGTATGGTATGTGTATGTACACATGCTGCTGCCTGTGGAATCTAGAGAGTGCATCAGATGTCCTGGAACTGGAGTTATAGGTAGTTGGGAGCCACCCCATATGGGATATGGGAATCAAGCCACCTCTCCAACTCCAAGACACATATACTCATAATAAGTACTTGAGGCTTTTGAATTTTGTTGGCTCATTGACAATTTTTTCAACTTCATTGGTAATTTTCTAGCTAAGATTTGCAGATTAAAGAACAAATGAGACTGGGTTTACAGGACATCTGTACTTCACCCAGAGGAATGGTTCTCAATCCTGTCTGCACAATGTAATTACTCAGGGAACTTTCAAACAAACAGTACACCCAGACATATCATGGTCATTGGAACTAGAACCTCTGGGTAAGGAGCAGGGTTGGAATTTTAAACACATTCTCAGGTGATTCTAATAGTTGTATCCTAGGCAAAGAATGGATGTTAATGCCACTGGAATCACTCTAGAGAAGGTAACAAGACAAGAGAGTAAATTATAGAGCAGGAGAGCAGAGCAGCTTTTGAAACTTCATATAAGAGATACTAGCTGGGATCCAAGATCTCCAGAGTTAAGTGGACCACTGATGCAACGCTAAATAAGTTTCTTCTGATAGCCAGAAGGGAGGGTCATGTTGAGAGGCAAAATGCTGTGCAAACTACTTAAACAGTTTCATGATAACAACATGGGGGTCACTGGGATTTCTTTCCAGTCTCTTGATGTTATCTGTACTGTATTATTTTATTTTCAAAGTTGTATCATCTCCAGTTCTGGGGGCAGGGGACAACAATGATAAAATGGTATTGGGCATGCAAGAGATTTGCTGTGGCAATCGCCTTTGAGAAGAAAGGGGAGGAAGTGGGGGTGATAATCCCCTCAAGGATGGAGAAGAAGGTTCTGGCATGGACATTGGGGTGTCTTTTGGCAGAGCTGCCTGTGACAGGACTGTCTCCAAGGACTGGCATGCATTTGTGTCCTGTGCCAGCAATAGGCTGGAGCAGCTCATGGAAAATATGGGATTGGCACAGAGCTGTGGTGGATTTGGAGTGTGGCAGACAGAGCAGGATTCTTGGTGGTGTAAATGAGAAGGCCAAGCCTCTAACTTCAGAGGGGCTGGGATTTTAAGCTCTCGAAGTCTCTGTATCCTAAGTGAGAATCTCTGGCACAAATCAGTCCATGATGCATTTATATTGGGGCTGAGGAAGTTAGCCACATTAGCATAACATGCCTAGGACACCTGGATTCACATTAAACATTTTGAGAAAGCTTAACTACTTAACCAGTTGTTACTCAGCATTTGAACAGAAGTAATCTCATAAGGTAAGTATTGTTATCCTAGTCTATAAAAATTTATCACCAGAGGCTCAGAAGGCGATAGGATAGTGATTCTCAACCTGTGGGTCGTGACACCCCCCCCTCAAACCTCTATCTCCAAATGATTCATAGCAGTAGCAAAACTACAGTTATGACATAGCAATGAAAATAATTTTATGGCTGGGGGTCCCCACAACATGATGAACTGTATTATTGAAGGGTTGCAGCATGAGAAAGGTTGAGAAGCACTGCAACAGGAGTCTTCCCCGAAATGACAGAACAATTAGTTTGCAGAAGGGGCAGGCTCTGAACCCAGGTCTGTGGCATTAATGTTGCAGAGGGCTTGCTTCTGGGGGGAATGGCTCCTGGCATGTTCTAACCCCAACTCCGTGTCCACATTTGGATGTAGGAGTGAGGGTAAATAGTCATGTTCTCCCTGCCATATTTCTGTCCTACATGTATGGGCATTGATGATTCCCGAAGCATAGGTAGTCCAAGTTCAGATCCATCAAAAGCATGGGTCATTTTCTGATTTTAAGAGTTTAATACCTTAGTTAATGTCAGCTATATTGTTAGGACCTGGAGGTTTGCTCATGAAGTGTGAGAATGAAAATACATAGAAATAGGGGAAACATGCAAAACAGAAGGAAAAATACACCCAGAATTTTAAAAGGACATAGGATCATTCTTTAAGATAAACAGGTAGAATAGATCTTTGTAGTCTTAAAGGCAAAACTACCAACGTAAAGAAAATACATTTAAACAGATGGATATTTACATACCAGCAACCACATACCTGTAGACAGCTACTTTCCCTTTTCCAAATGCTCCTACAAGTAAATCTTTAAAAAAAAAAGCAAAATCAAAATACATGCATAAATTTTTAGAAGTAATCAAGCATTCCTAATCCAAAAACCCCAGGTCAGAAATGCCCTCCGAACCTGAAACTTTTGGGGCACCAATATGATGCTATGAGTGGAAAATTCCACACCAGAAACCTTGTTCTATGCACAAAATTATTTTTAAAATTTTTATAAAATTACCTGTGTGTATAAGGTGTGTAAACATGTAAATGCATTTTGTGTTTGTAGTTGGGTCCCATCTCTAGATCTCTGTACATGTGAATATTTCACAAACAGGAAAGAAGAAAAGCAGACTCCTAAAGACTTCTGTCTCATGCATTTCTAGGAAGAGAGGCTCAGACTTATCTGCACTAAGTTCAAAATCTGAAGCAGCACAGGAAGAACCATAAAAATAGGAAGAGTTCACACGGCTCTTAGAACAGTTTGGAGGACTGTGGGGCTTCAGTGTAATGATAATATGGCACATGAACGGTTGGCTTTCAAATACCTCCTGTTTCAGACATACTTGCAAACTCACCATAGTAGCATTTTCCCCATTCCCTACATTCAAGGCAGATGACCCAAGAAAAGGCAAAGGGGAGAAGTGCAAGCTGGGGGCTGTAAGCCTGACCCATTGTGCACGCTGTCCTATTTCACTCTTACCAAGGACAACCCTAGGAAGCAAGGATCATTGCCTGCAAAGTAGCACAGTCAGAGTGTCATTCTGAGACTACCTTCTGCTCTCCAGAGAGAGTGGTTAATAAGTATTCTTCTGGGGAATAAGCCCATGCCACATGAAATAACTGAAATATTATCCTGATGGTCTTCAGTAATAATAGTAACAGTAAATAGCACATAGACAAATCCAGTCTTTCCAATGACTCCTAAGAGGCAATTTGAAAGTTTACCAGCAGTATAACTTATAGAGAAATGCACTGAATATTAAGATATTCACATGCTATTCCCATGACGAGGTCAGAAGTAGATCTGAGTGAGAGCAATAGTGAACTCTTGAACTCTTTGAGGGGACAAACTATCTCAGTGGTTTGCCCCCACCCCCAGACAAAGTAGTCTATTTGTCTGCATCTAATTCACAGTGGTAATTCTTGGTGGAAAGACACAGAATTAGAAATGACACTGGCTACATCTACAGAATATACAGAGAGTGAACTTTGGAGGAACAAAGGCTGTAGAGTAAAACATGCACAGTTCAAACTATAATTGGTTAATTATACTAAAAGAGAAGGGTAAGTAGGGAGAGGAGGAACCATAGCTTGCTGAGCTGTGTGGAGGATGATAGAGGAATTAAATGGGGGCAAAGGAATTTCACAGCAAAATGACTTGGTGCCATACTATCTTGTCAGTCATATTTCTGTCTGATTCTTTCTCTCAGGTTTACCCCTGGGAATTGCAATAACCACTTAGGACTGGGAGCTGGAACTGGGCAATAGACACACAGGTTCCCTGTCCAAGTGGGGTCACTTGGAGGGGTGTCCCTCCTGTGCTGTGGATGTCCCCAGCCATAACTCCCTACAGTGACATGTAGATTTGTGATTCTCCTCATTGCACCCATCTTTTGTGAGTCTTCCTTCACCCTTTCCCTATCAATATTTTGCAGGCTAATCCCTTCAATACGGTTTGCTTTCTAGTCTGTGGTTCAATGCAGAGTTCTGGGGGAACTCTCAGTCTAAGATACAATAATTCTCATTGAATATTTTCTCTTAAGAAATGGGCTCAAGCATCTCCAAGATCAAAATCTGAGACGATGACGTTCCGATGTGTAAACACAGAGTATGGAATAGTAGATTTGGCTCTGGTGCACTGTGCATGCTATTGTTTGAGAAAGTTAAACACAAGCCATCTAAAGAGAGCCGTGAAGGGGGCTGCAGCTTAGCCAGTTTCTGCAGGATGCCTTTGTTCCTAAGTCAGTTTTAAAAATCGTTTCAATGACTTATAATAGAATGTCAACTTCCATGACTGTTTTCACATGTATTCTTTGTTATACATGCCTCATTGAGGGAGGATATTACTGCATTTTTTTACTGCCACCAGAACATGAATTCTTCTTAATTTGTACACCCAGGCTCCAAACCTGAAATGCATGTAACATGGGCAGCCTCACTTGAATCTGCATCTGTTACCATGACAGCAGATTCAAGGGGCTGTGGGCTTTGTTCTTGGCACTAAATGATGTAAATATTTATATCCAAATATTTGACCTTGTACATAAAGAGATGAATTTAAAAATTTTATTTGAAGGATCTCAATGGGTAAGAGTCCTTGCTGCACAAGCATGAGGACCTGCGCTTGAATACCCAGTACCACGTTAAAAAAAAACAGGCAATATTTTGCATACCCACCCGTAACCCCAGCATTGGGGCACAGACACAGGTGGATCCCAAGAACTCAGTGACCTGTAAGCTTAGCAGAAACAATGTGCTTGCACTTTGGTGGGAAGGCTGTAAGATGGGCAGCAATTGAAGAAGACACCTAATGTCCTTTTCTGACCTTTTTATGGTCATGTATGCACATGACCACCCATACACTCAAATGTGCCACACACATACACATGTACATACCATTATAATGAACACACACCACACACACACACAAACACACACACACACACATGCACACATGCGGAAAGAGAGAGGATTATCTGATGAAAAAGTGAAAGAATATGAGATTATAAACCCTTACAGGGCAGGAATCTTCGATTTTACATAGTCAAAGACTTCCCTTGGCTATACTGGAAGAAGTGTACTCATGTTCACACACCCTCCCAAGTCTAGAGAGTCACATAGAGGCTCTGTCACAGTCAGATTGTCATCAGAGCTAAGAATCCCTAAGACAAAGGAGAGGATCACCCCTTTAGGCACTGTAATTCCTCAGAGAGGGAATTTTCCAACTCTGGAAAAATAAATATGCAAAATAGGCCCCAATTTTCTCCATGAGACTGTAGCCACAGCTATTTGGAGGCCAAGAAAACAGTTGTCTACCAGAAAAGCATGCTTGTCTTTTGAGACCCCACCTTAGTATTGTGACTGGTGGAAAATGCCAGAATCATTCATGCACAGGATACCAAGTTGGGCAGATCTCTCTAAGGGAGGTGAATTGATTTGCTGGTTTCATGTTTAACCAATCTGTCTTTCTAAAAGATGGGACTGGTTTTGATAATCACCGTGCAGATTTTCCCCTTTTCTCTCTGCCTCTCTGTGTATTGCACAGATATAGGATGGATGTTCATGTGTGCATATGCTTATATATCTATGTATCCTTTATGTACACAGAAAAATATGTTTGTGTGTATATGCATATTTGTATATGCATATATGCATGCACAAATATGTGTGCATATCCAGAAGCAATACTCTTTAAGTACTCCTACACAACTCTGATTAGGTGGGAGTCAGTTTTTTTTCTTTCTACCATGTTTTTCTCAGAAAGTCTAATTCCTATCCTCAAGCTTGATTGCAAACACCTTTATCTACTGAACCATGCTCACCAGTCCCATGATTTAGGTACTGAAATGATATTCTGGAGACAAAGTAACTTTGATGATGATCTGCAAATCTGTAACTATATAAACTTTCTCCCCACTCCCTTACTTTTAGATAACAGGTCATATACTTTGAGCTCACACTCACTTCCTCCCATTAGTAAATGTCTCAAAGGCAAACTGAAAAACAAACAAATGAAAAATGCTGCCCTTCTCCACATATACACATTAGTTGTTTTATTTTGTTTTGTTTTTCTAGAAGAAATAACTGGCAACTAAAATCAGTTCTTTCCACTCAATCAGAAAATGTTCTCCAAATGCTCCAGGCCTTTGTCAGGGTCTCACTGGCCTTAGAAGTGGAGTTTGTTTTCCTCTGGATGGAAGGACAGTGTACTCTTAAGAAAACAGAAAGGAGACTTAACATAAATGCAGGATCAGCTGGCAAGAAAAAAAACCCTAAATTGTGAAGTCACCAGAGCTGTGCTACACCTATGTCTTTGTAGTCTCCAAAACTGTTTTTCTAAATAAGGAAGAAGGGAAGTGCCGTACTTTCCAAATGAGGGCTTGGGCTGCAGGCTGACTTCACTCTCAAGGAAGGAATTCTTAGAGATGAAACTCTGTTCCAAACACTGGCTTGGAGTGTGTGCTTGAGGTTTGGGTGTGGTGGGGAGCATGTAGTAAGAAGGAGGGGTGACTTCTCAGGAGAAGAGACAAGTAGGAGGGATGGAGAGGTGACACTGTTCTACTAAGCCTTCATCCACGGTAATTTCCTTGGGAAGTCTGTCACCTGTACACCTATGAATGACTCTGTAGGTTCAGGCAGCCTGTCCCACGTGTAACCTCCCTTCTAGAACCTTCTTCTTGTCCCATCAGCCTGAGGAACACACAAATCTGAAGTCAGCCACAACAAAGGCCATCAGACAGTTCCTTTTTTACTTTGGAACTCAAAAAGATTTCCTGTTGATTCTCTGGGCAATTGTTTGCTGTGTAAGCAAGAGAATCCAAGTTCAGATGTGGGGCAGGTGCTTCCTGAGGGTTGCTGGGCACGCAGGCCAGCAGTATGCCTGTACTCTACGTCCAGTAAGAGACTGTCTAAAACTAGGGTGGAGACTGACAGAGGAAAACACACACTGTCCATCTCTGGTTGCCAGACATGCACATACAAACACACACACACACACACACACACACACTCATACATGCACACATGCATGCACACATACATAAATACACACATATACACATATACACACATGCACAGAATGCACCAATTTGGGGTACTTTTGGACAAGAGTGGTACCATAAGAACATCCAAAGAAATCTGGAGAGAGGGAGTTAAGTGGGTAGGAACATGAGGACCTGCTTCATATCCCAGCACCCATATAAAAAAAGTTATGACTTAATATGCCTTTAGCTCCAGCATTTGGGTGCAAAATAGGACCCTAGACCAGCTGAAAAGGTGAACTTCTGGTTCAGTGGTATATCCTGTCCCAAAGCATTA